GCGCTTTCAGTACCAGTCACGGTGTAGGAAATTCACAATGACAAAAATCCACTATGGGTTCAGCAACGTTTTGGATGCATTTGCGTTTATTAATCACAAGAGCATTTTTAGACATCTGAAAAATGGCAGTGCGAGTGTGCGGGACAGTACGTTCAGCCTGCAGGCCACATTCAGCTGGCATGTGACATAGGGGATCTTTCACAGTTTCTGAGCTGAGCCGGCTGGGGCTGGGCGTGCCACTGAGAGCAGCCCTTGGGGAATGAACAGCAGTGGCCTCAGGCTCCCCAGGATGGGGACGGTGTGGTGACAGGGATCGTGGGCCAGTTCCCGCCGCAGGCTTGCCACATCTGCTTGCTGTGCATGGTGGGGAATGGCTTCATGGACACCTTGTAACCCCATTCCACCTGCTGTGCCCCATTAGGCAGGTGATACATATTCTTCAGGCTCAAGGGAGAGCCAGGGGTGTGGAGGAAGGTGGCTTTCCCAGATCCCTGCCCCTGCCAGAGAGTGGGGCTCTGGGCACTTCTTGGGTTGAAATTTGGAGTCAGCCCAGTTTTCCCCCTGCCCGTCCCCACCCCTTCCTGTGGGCAGGTGCTAACGCTTTCTCCACTTCCTAGCCTCCACTTTCTTTTTTCTAGCTTCTTCTTGTGTCACTGCAGTCCCAAGGCAGGGCTCAAGAGGCCACATGGGAGAATAGAGGGAGATGTTCCTCATCTCCCCTTTTTGTGTTCTCATTTGTGTCCTTCCAGGGAAGTTACTGAAACAAGCAGAGGACTTCCCCAGGGGGACTTACAAAGAGGCAATGCTTAACCCAAAGGAAAAACATCCATGGGGGAGGGGAGAGGGGGGAGGGGCAGGGAAGCAGGGGAACTGAGGGAGGTGGGAGAGAGATGGGAGGACGAGAAAAGAAAGAAGGACGGAGTGTGTGGTGGGAAGGAGAACAGAGTTTGGTACAGAGGGAGGCGGGAAACAGAGGAGCTGGAGTTTCCCGCTGTGACCCTGAGTGGGGTTGGTCCTGAGCTAGGGAGACTCCAGCTGTAGGGGCATCTGTGTGCTCCTCCGCTGCAGCATGCTCCCATGCATCTGCACCCCACTGCATCAGACTAGGTCCCTGTCACTGCTGTCACTTCCACTGTGACACGGCCGTGGCTCCCTGCCACCAAGGAGTGGTCTACAGGCACCAGCCTGGCACGAGGAGAGCCTCCTTTCTCTCCCCTTTCCCTCTTTCCCCATGTTTCTGGGCAGCTTGTGCCTGGCACTCTGGAAGGAGGATTTAGAGAACACCCCCACCCACCCCCAGGCCAGATGGGGGGTAGCTGGAAGTGGGAGCAGGAAGGTTATCTGAGGCTGTGAGACTGCTGCGCTGCTAACTTCCTGACCCCTACCGCAGGCTGGGGTGGAAGGAGTTTCTAGGAGGGGCGCACCAGCAGTGCTGGGCTTCTCAGGCTCGGTGCCGCGGAAGTCCACACAGGGCTCTGAGTCAGCGTTTCTGGGCCAGTCCTCTGTGTCCCATATAGACTGGGAGATTTTGCCACACGGAGGTCTGCTCAGCCTGGCCACTTCCCCAGGACAAAGAGGCCTGAATGTGGGGTCCTGCAGGACCACTAACTGGCTGTGTGACCTGAGGCGAGTTGCTGCCTGCTAGGGTTTGAATGTGTCCCCCAAAGTTCATGTGTTGGAAACTTAATCACCAATGTAACGGTGTTGAAAGGTGGGGCCTTTAAGAGGTGCTTAGGCCATGAAGGCTCTGCCCTTGTGAACGGATTAATGTCATTATCGAAGGAGGGGTATAGTTATTCTGGGAGTGGGCTTGTTATAAAGGCAGCCCCCTCTTACTCTGCTCTCTTGTGCCCTCCTGTCCTTCCATCTTCGGCTATGGGATGACGCAGCATGGAGACCCTCACCAGATGCCAGCACCTTGATATTGGACTTCTCAGCCTCTAGCACCATGAACCATATAAACTTCTATTGTTCATCAATTACCCGGTCTGTGGTATTCTGTTATAGCAACACACAAGGAACTAAGATACTGCTCTCCCTGAGCTTATTTCCTCATCTGCTGAGAGGCCACACACTCCCTACCAGAGCTACTCTCAGGACCTCAGGCTAGAGGGGTGAGGAGGAAGGAGTTGGAGCCCCTTCCCAGAGGTGCTGGGCTGCACTGGGGCTCCTCCCCCAAGAGAGCTGCAGAGGAAGAGATGGACTTTGAGGTCCTGCCTGGTCCTGTGCTCCTGCATGGCTTGTGCTCTTCCTTCTGCCTGTCTAAATCCAGCTGTCTCCTCTAGGCAGTCCTCCTGGATTGCACTAGCCCTTTCTGCCCTCCTTTTCTCTGACTACCAGGCTGAGTCCCCAGTCCTGTGCTGGGACCAAGAGGGTGCAGGGATTAAGGCTGAGGCCTTAGTGACACATATTTCGCAAAGAATCCTCTAGAGTAGGTCTCCGGCAGAATCTCGGTGCTGTTCCCCCATTTGCCGTCTAATTGGATTAGGTGCCTGGACATGGACCAACACGCTGTGGCTGGGGAAATAGGGTGGGACCACATGATGCAGGTCCTGGTGCTGGCACGTCCCTGTGGCTGAGCCAGGAAGCTCAGGGCGCATCGACCCCTCCGTCTCCTCCTCCTCCCTCAGGCCAGGAGTCAATAATATCTGTTCCTAGTGCTGCTGCTCCACTGTCCCCAACCCAGGACCCCCTCACCCCTCTCTGCGATGTCCGCACCTGTGTTCTCCCTGGCTTCCAGCCTCCCTGATCCTCGTCCTGCCAGCCCAGCCACCCTCAGCCTTGTTTCTGAATGCCTCACGGCTCCTCTTTCTGCTTCAGGACTTTAAGGGCCTTCTGTGAAGTCACAGCCACTTAGACAGGGACTTCCAGCACCTGCCTACCACCTGCTTTTTCTGGCCCACCTCCAGTGTCTTCCAACCCCCATCACTGAGGCTACCCAGCACCCCAGCTTTTTGGTCCAGTTCTTTAAAAATGCAGATCCCGCCTTTCTCCAGGCGGTGTTCATGCTGTTCTCCTTGGCTGGGGTCCTTCAAGGCTGAGCAAAAATGCTACCTTTCCTCTGGCTGCGTTTCCTGACTCTTCAGGTGGAATTAATTACCACCTGTGTCCCCACTGTATCTGTAAACACCTCTAACACGGTTTCTCCTCCTTTCTATTAATGCCGTGTTATTGTCTCACTCCCCATCACGGCTCTGTGTCTAGACAATGGGGATTGCCTCTTATTCATGGAACATTTTGGCCTGCACACAGTAGGCACATAATAAATGCTTGTTAGGTTGAGTAGATAATTGCCATTCGCACCACGCACGCATAGTCCATTGTCTTTTAAAACTCTAAAAACTATTACAAAAATAATCCCTACAGGTTTTTAAATGTTCGTAACGATGCCTAAGGATAAATAAAAAGCAAAGTCCCTCACACAGTCTAATTCCCAATGTGAGCCGAGGAAGAGCTGGCAGTGTTTTTTCCAGGCCAGTGGTTCTCAAAGCGGGTCCTCCTCCTGGCCGCATCAGCATGTGTCAGGAATGCAGATTCCTACTGAACCCCATGCCCAGGGCCCAGGAGTCGAGGCGCTCACAAGCCTCCAGGTGAGAGCACTGGCTTCCAGCCTGAGAACCAGTTCTATTTGTGCAGAAGCTCCCAGGCCTGAGGCCTTCCTCAGAGCCCCAGCCTCAGTTTTGGACCAAAACTCCAAAGTCAGCCCATTTCCTGGTCTTTTGCCTCTCTCAGCCTCAGCGGGTGGCAGAGAGAGCCAGTGTGGGCATCGGCGCCCTGGCCTGGTATCCCAGGTGGCTCTGGCTGGACCACTGACTTGCTGAATGGCGACTTACTTCTCTCCTCTCAGAAAGGTGGGTGTTCTCTGAATGTTCTCCAAAAAAAGATGTGAGCAAAAAATATTTGTTCTTGGAGCTCTCTGAGGGCTTATGCTCTGGATAAAGAGAATTCTATGGAGAGATGCTACTAGTTTCCAGATTTTCCAGGAAAAAGGTGAGGCCCCAGAGTGGTAGGAAAGACCTCCCTCCTCCCCTGCCCTTTCCAGTGCAGAACAAATCATCCACTTGGTTGCTGCGTGTGTATGGATCAAGGCAAGAAAAGACTCTACTGCATAAATCCCTCTGGAAAGAGCTGAGTGTAATGAACATTTGCTAAGCACCTACTCTGTGCTGGACGCTGTTCCAGATGCTGGGGATACCGCAGAGAAGAAAACAGACAAAAATAGTCACCCTGATGGAGTTTACATTATAGTCAGGAGAAACAGACAATAAACCAAAACAGAGCTAAAATATGTAGTGCTGGGGACCAAGGGCCATGAAGGGGAATGAGGCAGCGGCTCTGGGTGCTCAGGGCCAGGAGGCCAGGTGCGAAGTGCTGAGTCGTGAGGCTCCTGCTGTGAAACGGACAGAGGGACCTGCCAAGGGCTCTTCACAGGAACCAGGACGAGGCCACTCAGCCCTTTAGGAGCTTCCAGTGTGTTTGGAGAAGAGGCCAGAGTCAGAGGGCATGGAGGGCTTCTTCCAGCACAGGAGGTCATTTCTGAGCGGACTTCGGGCGATGCAGGGAAGGCGGGAGGCCTGGGCTGGAAGGCTCAGAGCAGGCTTCCGAGAGGAGGTGGCATCTGGGCTGGGCCTTGAGGGATGAGTGGTCACAACTGCACGGGAGGGAGAGGCCACTCCAGGTACAATGTGTGCCAAGGGTGGCAGCGGCTGCTCCCCCTTGGAGGAGGGCATGGCCACCCAGCCCCTGGGCTGAGCTCAGGAGGCACTGCCAGGGTTGGGCCCTTATGAACGGCACCCTACGTAACCCTGCACCTCACTTCCATGTGCCTTGTAAAGGCTGGTGATGACAGCCTCTACCCTCAGCAGCATGTTGACATCATTCCTCTGTTCCCTGCAAGGGCCCTGGCCCCTCCCACTGCCACCGCCCGCTCCCCTCTGTACCCTCCTAGTCTTAGACAACAAAGAACTATTTCAGACAAAAATCAAAAGAGAACGTTTTCACTGGGGGAGTGGACTACAGGAAGGCAAGGATATCCATTTCTCTCTTCTTCAAGGAGGCCCTGAAACTGTCATTCCACAAGCCCAAGGTCAACTCGGGTCCCAGGTAGCCCCTGAGCGGGTGGGGAAAGCCGGTACAAATGAGGGATCTGGCGGTCCAGAAAGGGGTTAAGAAGCCTCCTGTGCCTCAGTGTCTCTTCTTGGGGCTGTGTTGTGGACCTGGGTGGAACCAGGGCTAGGCTTGCCGGAGAGACGCCCAGTGGCGGGTGTTTTGCCTCCACCCTGCAGCTCACTGCAGGACTGCGGGCGTGTCTGGGCCGCAGGGCCCCAGGGTGAAATACGGCCCTGGGGGGAAGGCTTGCAGGCACTGTGCCTGATGAAGGTGGCCGGCCATTACATACCCATCCTGATGGGCTTTAAGCTCCCAGTGGAGACGTTTCTGCTGCAATTGCCAAATAATAATAATATCGTGGTGGCACCTCCTCCAGTCATTTCTTTACTTATTCCCCGTAAATGAAAAGGCAGGATGGTTCCCAGAAGGGCTGCAGCTAGAATCTCATTTCTGTCTGATATCTGAGAGCCTGGGATGAAGAGAGAGCACTGCAGCCCCCTCGGGCCCCCCCCCCGCCCACCTCCTCCGTGACAACCAGGCCCCTCTCTGGTCCTCAGTCTCAGACTGTTCCTCACTCTCTCCTTCTCCCACCATCCCATGGCTGTGACTCTGGCTGAGTCCCCTTGTCTTCAAGGTTCCCCGACTGCCTCTCTTCGCCCTGCCGCCTCCTCCCCTCCCTTCTCTGTCTGTCCCCTCCTCCCTTCGCCTGTCCTTTTCAATGATCCCCGGGTCTCCTGCACAATACCCCTTCCCAACCCTCCTCTCCCCTTTCTCCCGACCCTTGCTTCTCTCCCACCTTCCAGCTTCTTTCCATTTTGCAGATGAGCGAAGAGACCCAGAGAGACAAAGGAACTTGCCCAAGGCCACAGAGCCCATCCACCTGGGCTTTCTAGCTCTAGAAACCAACTGGTGACGGTGGTATTGCAGGGGCTTGGTGTGCCACAGCTGCTGTCCATCTGCTCTGTGAGGTGAGGGGCTGGACAGTGGTCTCTCTAGCCAGGCTGTCTGTATTGTAGTCCCCTGATGTGTCCCCTGGGAAGCCGCAGGTCTGGCTAGACCAGCCCCTTGCCCTGTGGCCCAGCAGCGTCGGCATCACCTGGGGACCGGGTAGAAATGCAGAACCTTTGAGTCAGCTTCAGTATTTTAAGGACACCCCCCCACCCCCACCAGGAAATTCATAGGCACATGAGAGTTCATGCTAGAGTCTTTTCTTCAGGGTGAGGAGTCCGTATTCTGCTGGTCTTGCCTACAGGAGACCATGGGAGGAGAGGGGCATTGGTCTCCTGGGCCCCATAGGGAAGGCTGCTCCTAGCCCTGTGGCTGGTGTCCTGGGGCTGGAAGGGACAGCTGTCTTCCCATTCAAACCCTTTATTTGACAGGAAGAAACAAGACCTGTGAGGGAAAGGACCTCCTCCTCCTTAGGGGAGGCCCACAGATCCGGGGCTTGGCCTGGCCACCCACCCAAGGGCAAGGAGGGCAAGGTGAGCAAGAAGCAGGTGCCTCACTAGTGGCATACGCCAGGACGTAAGTGGCTCAGGCCAAGAATCCTGGAGTCACCCTCGCCTCACCTCTTTCACACTGTGTGGCAGCATAGTGATGGCCATAGGTTCTTTGATCTCCCCCCACTGAGAGATGATGGGGTCTAATTCCTCTCCCCTTGATCAGGGTTAGCCTTGGCAACTCACTTGACCAATAGAAGGCAGCGGAAGTGACATTCTGGGATTTCCGAGGCTAGATGGTAAGAAGCCCTGGAGCTTCTGCCTTGGCTTCCTGAGATGCTTGCTCTTGGAGCCCAGGAGCCCAGAAGAAACCCACACGAGGAAGGGCTGAGGCCTCGGGTGGATGGGCCAGGCCCAGCCGCGGTGCAGCCATCAGCTCGCGCCCAGCAGCTGTACAGGACCCACCCTGCAAGTGGCTTCCCAGGCCACCCTGTGACATCATGTGGGGCAGAGAGGAGCCTTCCCCACTGAGCCCTGTCCGAATTTTGCAGATTCATTAGCAAAATAAATGCCTGTGGTCGTTTTAAGCCACCAAGAACCGGGGGTGGTTTGTTGTATAGCAATACATCCGGAATCCAATCTGTCGGCAAATCTCGTCAGCTCTGCCATCTAAATATATCCACAATCCGGCCGCTGTCATCTTTTGCTTGGAGATGACAATGGCTTTCTCGAAGCGTCCCCGGCGCCTGCCCTTTGCCCCTGCTGTCTGTTCTGTTAAAACCAGAGTCAGGTCACACCTTTCTGCTCAAACCCTCTATAGGCTCCTCTTCCACTCAGAGTGGAAGCCAAAGTCCTTTCCAGGGCCCAGAAAGCCCTGTGTGTTGGACACCACTTCCCTCCCCGTGCCCACCTCCCTCTCGCTCACTGTCCCCTTCCACTCCAGCCCTGATCTGCCTATTAGTCTGGGACCATCCTGGCCAGGCCTTTGCACCACTGCTGAGTGGAAGGCAGCTGCCCATAGATGCCCCCAAGGTTCCCGCCCTCTCTTCACTTCCATCTCCGGTCACATCTGTCCAGAGGGATTTTTCTGCCCACGCCATAGAAAGCGGTATTCCTGTTCATTCCAACCCCCACCCCCCATTCTGTTTATTTTTCTCTGTGGCGCTTAGCACGAATGTCATTCTATGTTTATTTTGTTTAATGTATTTCTCCCCTCACTAGAATGTAGACTCCTTCAGAGGAGGGATTTTTGCAGGTTTGCTTTACTACTCAGCAGGTACTTGTGGGATGGAGGAATGAATGAAGCTGGCTTGGGCTGGCCAGGTGCCCTGCAGGGCTGGGGCTCCACAGGCTGGCTCTCCCAGCCTTCTCCTGCAGACCAGGCTTCCCAGAGCTCAGGCTGGAGCAGGTGAGGAGGGAGCACGGTGTCTCACACAGTGGGCTCTCGGCCTACACTGCTCAGCGGGTCCTTCAGCCTCCTCTCTGCCGGGAGTCTCCCTATGGAGCTGCCAGCTCACACCTGCCCCTGCCACTGCCCCTGCCCCTGTGGCCAAAATAGCTTTCTCCTGTCTCCGCTGCTTGCTGAAAGAGGCACGGATCTCAGTATCACCCTCCTGCCACCTGCCCTGCAGGGTCTGCGGAGATGGCCATCTGGGAGCCCACCAAGGCCTCGAGGGGAGCGGTGAGAGCCAGCATCTGAGTGCAGTGGCAGGGCTCCCTGCTGCCCGCGCCAGACAAGGTCCAGAACGTGCTTCTCCCACTCAGCTCAGCATCCGGAGCTCTCCCATCCTGCTTCCGCCAGGGCAGCACTTTCTCAATTCCCACGCCTTTTACAGTGGCTGCCCCGTGGGGCTAATTCTCTCACCTCCAGATGGGCCCATTAACACTTCAACAGGCCTCGCCTGGAGCCACAGCCCCTAGCCCTCTTCCCAAACAGCTCCACCCACATTCCGTCGCTGTCAGCGCCCCAGCTGCGGAGGCTGGACCAGCTTCAGCTACTTTTATTTAGGCTTTAGAAGGAGGACCTTGGCCGCCAGCAGATGAGGTCTGCAGGGCACTAGAGGTAAACTTCTGCCCTGAGTCTCCAAAAATAATTTTCTGTTTGGCTCCAAAACACGGTTCTGCTCTTCATCTGCCTGCAGGAGGCCTTGGGAGGGACCAGATCCCGAAGCTGCGCAGTGAAAACATGATGCAGGGGATGCTGAAAGCAGCCTAGCCTCCGGTCGCCTCCCCTCCCCTCCCCTCCCCTCCCTCACCTCCCTGGGTGCTGAAAGCAGCCCAGCCTCCGGTCCCCTCCCCTCCCCTCCCTCACCTCCCTGGGTGGAGAGGTTGGCATTGCCTCCCAGGTGGATGCAAAGTACCAGTCTCATCAAATCTAGGATACCAGTGATTTTTAAAGGAATCATTATTTTACCATGAAGGGGGAAAATGCTGCTGATTAAACTAGGATATGCCACCAATTGTTAGACAGATTCCAATTTCAGGGATATTAAAGTGTGAAAACAAATGTGTTTTTAGGACAGATGAAATGCAGCCTAGGTGGAGCAGCCCCCTCGTCTCAAAGCCAGCACTCTCTAGCTCACACTTTCCCTGGAGAAGAAATGAAAAGTGTGCTTCGGATCCAAAGGCTTTCAGCTCCCACTTCTGCCAGGGCTGTGTGTGAGAGAGTAAACTGGGGTGATGGGGACATCCACAGAGGACTGAGGTAAGAGGGGATCCTGTCAGCTGCCACCCACAGAGCCTGCTGAGTGACAGTCACAAGCCCCCGCCGCGGTCTTGTCAGCCCAGAGCACATCTGACTCAGCCCCTGTCCCACTGCTCTGAGTCACGGAGGACTGCAGTCAGAAAGGGTGTCCTCACTGCTTCGTCCATGACTCAGCACCCCTGTGTTCAGAGGTGACTTCGGGCCCCAGGAGAGGCGGGAGAGAGGGTGCTGGAGGGAGCCTCACCCTTGGGCTTCCCTCGACGGAATCTGAAGCTGGCAGGGTGGAGCCGTCCACACCAGCGTAAGGCCGTGGATGAAGTGGGAGGGATGTACGGGGAAGCAGGGCGCAGCAGGACTTGAGAGAGGAGCCTCCACTGCAGCAGGAGGGGTGCGAGGGAGGCCACAGCAGGAGGGCAGTCGGGCACCTCATCCTTTGGAGATGACAGTGGCTACCCAGGTACTGCCCACTTACCTCCCTTCAGGACCCCAGTGCCCATTCTCCAGCCGTGGGAGACGTGGCAGCTGACCCCGCCAAGCTGAGTTCCTCCTCCTCCTCGTGGTTGCCCTTGGCCTCTTCCTTCAAGGTTGCAGTGTTTTCTGGGGACAGCCAGCATCCAACGGCTGGCAAATGCACCAGTGTGAAGGACGGACCCCGTTGCCCCTTGTGGGACAGGCTGCAGGCCTCCTCCCCTCCTCTGTCCTCCCTGGGGTGGCTCAGGCCTTTGCTGTGGCTGCAGGGCAGCCCAGCCCCTCTGTCTGCCCAGCCCCTCTGTCTGCCCAGCCCCTCTGTCTGCCCAGCCCCTCTGTCTGCCCAGCCCTCTGTCTGCCCAGCCCCTCTGTCTGCCCAGTCCTGCCTGTGCCACTCTCCACAGGTGTTCTTCCCTGCAAACTTCCTGCACAGAATCTTCCTCTGAATTGGCTTTGAAATAACCTGACCTGTCAGAGACCTTGAGGGGAAATGCAGCACGTGGCTGCCAAGGGAAGGAGGAGTATCCTGCTCTGAGGCCAGGAGGTGGCCCAGACAGGCCCTGGGGACCTCTTCCTGGCCTGTGGGTAGCTCTAGGAAGCTCCCCGGGAGTGTCCTCCTGGCCAGCCCGAGCTTCCTGCCCACCCACAGAGCCGGGGGCAAGGCAGCAGATACCCCAGGGGGCAGGACCATGGCAGGGGCAGGGGTGCCAATAGATCCCAGGCGGAGGTCTCAGGCATTTTTAACAGGTAGTACAGCTGCTGGGAGCCCCAGGCATGGCTGGGGTCAGTGCAGGCCCCCATACCAATGTGCAGAGCAGACACAGCACATTTGAACTTCATACAAAGCCCGGGCCTGGCCAGCATGTAGGTCTGCCTATGACTGCATGTATAGGTGTATGTACATGAATGCATGTGTGTATGTTCATGTGTGTGCGTACATGACGGTAACAGAAGGCCCATGTGTGCTTATGCCTGGTATGTTAGCTTGTGTTTTTGAGTGCATGGTTTAGTATGTTCACATAGGCATAAGTGTGTGCACACAGGCCTTTATGTTTCTGTGTGTGTGCGTGTGGGTCCAGGCAACTCATGGGGAAATGCTCCCTGTGTCTCTTCTCCTCACCCAATGCAGCTTCTCTCTCTTGCCACAAATCCTTTGCCTAAGCTGCCTTGAGGTTACCTCCTTCTCCGCCTCCTCCAGGAAGCCTTCCTTGGTGAAGCCAACATAAATTCCAAGCCACCCTTTCTTGTTTTCACCAAAACAATTTCCTTGTTGGCTTGGCCCTCTGTATCTGCCTGTGTCTCCATCTCACTGGGAGTTTCCTGAGGGCGGGGTTGTGTCTCCATGTTCACACTGAGAAGTCCCCGAGCCTGGGAACAGCCTCTCCATCAGGACAGGCTCTCCTGGGGACTGGAACTCTGCTTTTGTTTTCTAGACTGAGCTGCATAAGCTCCCTGAGAACCCTGCACTCCGCCCATTTCCTGGACACTGAGCTGTGGGCTGGCCGTTCGGGGGTCTGGGTTCCAATCCTGACTCTGACCGTGACTTGGGAAAGCTTTTGCTTTCTGGGCTCCAGGTGGCTCATCTGTAATGGAGGGGATAAGCAGATGGCCTTGGGGCACCTCACTGCCCTGTGCTTGCCTGCAGAGAAGTTCAGTCTCCAGGGTCCTCTGTGGCCCTTGTGGTTCCCCATGACCATTGCCCACCTGCCCATCCCTATTTTAAGCTTGTGGGTGGACCTGGCTGCCAGCGCTACCCTCCCCCTTAGCCATGGGGGGGCGGAGTGAGGAGGTCAGCAGGCCACATGTCCTGGGTTATTACATTAAATAAGCTGACAAAAGCCATCAGAAGATATATCATTTAATAGGAGATTAAAAACCAACAAGAGCGGCTGGGGTTCTGACCTGAAGTCTCTGCGTTTTTAATTTAATTTCGTTTGCTGCTCCAATCACAATGTTCTAACGTGATAGAAGTAGCTGTGTTTGCTCAAGGGTTTTATCATTAATTGATTTGGCTGGAGTTTTCCCATAAGCCACATCTTTTGGAATACCTTCTTATTTTAGGCCTCTGACTCAGTGCGAAGGGGCCGTTCAAGGCCCTCGGGGGCAGGGGTGGGCAGCCAGGGATGCTCGTGGCCAGCGCCTCCCCACAGGTCAGCAGGCCCAGGCCCCGTGCAGAAGCCCTGCTGGGAGTTGGTCAGTGCCGCTGCTTCAGTGTCAGGAACAGGCTTCTCTTCGGCCCTGAATTTAAAGGGTCAGAGCCAGCTCTCCCCCAACCCTGGGCACATCAGAGCCTGGTGGGCGCCCTGCAGAAGGCTGGCAACCCTTGATGGCAGGGGCAGGTCCCTGGCCAGGCCTCATCCCCCGAGTCTGTGCAAGTCAGTGGAGCTCAGAGCCACAGCATGCTTGGACACAGTGGTAGGTCTGGTTGCCTACAGGCCCTCTCCATTTTCACTCCCTTCCTCTCTTCCTGTATTGGGTATTTGTTTCTTGGTCGCAGGCTGCTTGTCTCTGTGGAGCAGGAATACTCACCTCATGTCCCCACATCTTTGTGATCAACCAGGAAAGAATGGCTCTCTTCCAGGTCCAGTTAAAAAGCCCAGGGAGGGGCTCTGATTGGTCTGGCTGGGTCACATGCCTAACCCTGCACCAATCGCTGTGGCCTGTGGGGCGGGGTCAGGTGAGAGTTGGTTTCCCACTCGGACCACATGGCCAGAGCAGGTGGGAAGCTGAGGGGGTGTTTTCCAGACAGAGGATGCTGACAGGGCCACCACTGCAAACCAAGTGTCCTGTTACTATAAAAGAAAATACAAAGTGTTAAGGCACTGCTGACATTTGAGTGTAGTTCATGTGACTATGTTTTCCATTCAAAAGACAAACACCTCAGTAGAGTAGTCAAAACACCGAACAGAGGAGAAGACTGAAGAGGTGTGAATGAATGGAAAGTGGATGGATAGCCCTGCAAAAGGGGAAATGTCCATCAAGCCACATGGCGGATACAATTTCCTACCTGTTGGATTGTCAAAAATAAAAATGTCTCCCCATTGAGGATGTGGAAAAGGGAAACTACTCACTCTTTTTCTTTTTTTTTTTTTGAGACAGCCTCCGTCTGTCACCCAGGCTGGAGTGCAGTGGCGCAACCTCGGCTCACAGCAGCCTCTGCCTCCCTGGTTCAAGCAATTCTCTTGCCTCAGCCTCTGGAGTAGCTGGGACTACAGGCCCACGTTGCCATGCCTGGCTAATTTTTGTATTTTTCGTAGAGATGGGGTTTCACCATGTTGGCCAGGATGGCCTTGATATTCTGACCTCGTGATCCGCCTGCCTCAACCTCCCAAAGTGCTGGGATTACAGGCATGAGCCACTGCAGCTGGCCAGCTACTCACTCTTAATACCACCCCTAGGAGCGCGATTCAGCTGCACCTTGGAGGGAAGAAGACACACACGCCCTGCAACTGCTACTGCACTTGGGGTGTAAACCCAGGGAGCCAATGTCATGTGTGTACACAAGGAACCACAAGAGCTGCAGCGGTTTAGAGTAAGAAGTATTGCCAATAAACTCAGTGTTTATTAACCACAGAAAGGATAAGTAAAGTGTGGGACACTCAGAAAAGGAATTCTCGACAGCAGCTAAAATTAACTAACTGGAGTTACATGTTATCAAGATGGACTGAATGCACAAACATATGGTTCGTGGAGAAAAGACAAGTTGCAGGAAGCCTCGTCCTACTGATTAAAATCTAGAGCTGTGCAAATATGCTGCATTGTTTATGGATACAGACATAGGCAGTATTTAAAATCATGCATGGGGACGATACCAACTTAGATAAGGTGGCCACCTTTGGAGAGAGAAGGAGGCTATGTAGGAAATTGTGGGGAGGTACACAAAGGATTTCAACTGTATGTGCAATGCTTTGTTGCCTTAAAAATTATCTTAAAAATGGAGATTATTTTTATGTGTATATACACAAACGTATGTTTACGTGTGTGCATGTATTTTTTATTGCTGTTCTGCCTTTCACTTATTATTTTGTAATACGCATGAAAATGGAGTTTTAATAGTTATATAATATCCTCCCATAATTTATGAATTTGTCCTGTGGTTGCATATATAGGTTGTTT